CCCCATAGTGTTTACCAATATGCCTACAAATCATCTAACAACAAAATCTTCAAATGGGTAGGATGTTCTTTTTTTTTTTTTTTGGTTCCAACATCAATAGGGTTATTTGAATTTGGAACCTACGTTTATTAAATTGGACATTCATCCTTAAAGACAAAAGTGGGTGTCCGCCCTAATTTAAATTATTCATGTTAAATTTTGATTATTTAAATTTTATTTAATTTTTATTTCATATTTTAAATTTTTCTTACTTTGATAAATATAGAATATATAACGAAGACAATATTTAATGGTCACTTTATTTCAAAAAATTATCACTTATAAATTAAGAATTAAATATTGTGTATCAAAGCTTCCCATGCTAAATTTAAGAAGTCCAAATCTCATAAAGATTGTGCACATTATGCCCCATCTGCACTTAATTTTTCACCTGCAGAACTTGTCTCTAAAATAAGTACTAGTTGTAAGATATTTCAACATAAATTGCTCAAAATTTTGGTCCCTACGTTAAATTTACTAACATTCTATGATTTTTGGGATCCACACTTTCAGACAGAACAAAATCTGTAGGACACACATAGGCATCAAAAACTTGGAAGCCTGGACATGTAATGGTGAATGATTGGCCATAAAAAGTTACAAGGAGACAAGTTCATATGGGAGTAATGATTGGCCACAGTAGTTACAATTCCTATAGTGGCAAGAAATTTTAGTAAACAACTAATCGCTAAAGTCTAGAGACATGTTTTAAAGTCTCAGCCCTAAGAATATTCGTGGTTAATGTCTCTTTGGTTTGGTCTCTAACCAAGCGTGACATATTGTACAGTTAAATCTAAATATTGTCCCAAGAATGCTAACGTGTAATAATCAAATTAATTGCTTCAAGAATGCCTACAAACTGTTTCCTTCGGCAGTTGCAGCATGAAGAAGTCCATCTAGGGTAGCAGCTGGATCCAGGTGCCCACACCTTTCTAGAAAATTGCTTCCTTTTCCCTTGACTAACCATGACGGCACTTGATGTGAGAAGCGCAACATTTCTCTTCTTTGTATCCATCTAATGGTGCTTTTGTCTGGATTCCACTGATATATGATTTTGAATCCATCTAACTTCACAAGGGGAGTCACATAAACCCCAAACTCCTTGGAATATTCATCAAGAACCTCTACCATTTCATATTGGTGCCTCTTTATCTAGCGTGCCTCTGTTCCAGTCCTGTGACCAATTTTGATAGACAGCCCTAATATCTCCTAACCACTCTATTATAAAATATCATGCTGCTCGATTTAGGCAAAATAGGTTAGGAGAGTTAGTAGGATTATTCATGCTATAATGGAGTTATTTGGATTATTATACCAATGGGCTATCCAGCTCCTACCCACTCTCCCGAAGAATCCTCAGTCCTCCCCCATTGTCTCTGGCTGTAACCCTTCCAAGCATGCGGTCGCCCCTGCTCCTTCCACTACCAAGCAATTCTTCTGGCATCATCTCTGGTCCTCCCCCCACCAAGATATTCTTTCGGGTACTATAGCTGTCTTCGTGATGCATGAATATTCCAGCATCATCCTTGGTTCTCCCCCCAACCAAGTGCTTCTTCTGGTACTGCCCCTGTCTTCGCGATGCATGTGGGTTTCCACCTCCATTCCAGTCTTGTCTCCTGACATCATCTACCTTTCCTATGTTGTGAAAGATTTCATATATGACTCCTATTTTCTCCATGCTTAGAACGTTCAAGCTGCACCCTATCCCCAAATATGGTTAGATTCATGCATGCTCCTTGATGGACCAAATTTGATATTTTCAAATTCAAATTATATATCATGAATATTCTCATTTTTGCCGCTTTAAAGTTGGGATCTTTATATGTGAATTATAATCCCCAAATCTCCACTATTCTTTTGAGTCGTTCTTGATATATACCTCACATTTGTTAAATGGGTTATTAGAATCATAGTAAACTAGACGTGAACCATCTTTATAATAAAGCCAGAGACCATGAATTCCAAAACCTGCTTTAGGCATCCAAAATCATATTTCACTAGTTCTTAAACTGAATATTACATCAATGGCTATATATTTGCTTTTGGGTTGTTTTTTTGAGCTTTTTGTATCATCTTTCCCAATTTCTTTTGCATTAGAAGATAGAAGATTGCCCCACACCTGATGGTTGAGGAGTGATTTGTAGCATTTCAACTTTTAAAATTTTGATTTGATTTATTATTTTTTGTAATTGTTTGTTTAATATGCCAGCTTATTGTTGGATTTTTTTCAGTCTTTTTGTTATTGGATTTCCCACTCCTTATTTTGATTCCATATTAATGATGATTAAGATTTCAAGTTATACAGTTACTAATCAATAATTAATATATTGCTATGGCTCTCCAACTTCATGCATTGTGTATTTTATCTAGCAATTAAATTGCAATGAATGATTGTGGCTAATTATTTCCTCCTTAAATGCATAAGATAGACGTTTACAATATTTTAATCCAATTTACTTACTCAATTATTATTTCATTTATTGAACAATTATAATATATTCATTTCATCATATTTTAATTTAAATACCACGAGCTCTATTTGAGAATGCACTATTGTTAGCCTCATTCAACATTAGGTACGTTGCCCCCTCACTTCATGTTCTCTAATAACCTTTTAGCTATTATTTTCTATTTGCATTTATACTTGAATTAGATTAGAATTTATATTTGAATTAGAATGACTGATTTGAGAATTGATGATTTGAAGTTGAATAAATTGAATTGATTTGATTTTATATAAGTTAGATATTTATTTTATATCTATTTATTTTACATAAATTAAATCCTAGCTAGGCCCTTTACATCTGATATATTTTTACTTTTAACACTTTTATCATTTATAATTCATTATCACAATGCTTTACTATTTGGATATGTGCTTCAACCACACCTTTTAGGGCTTGATAAATTACAAACATTAAACTACTGTTTAGGGTCGCTTTATCGGCTGGTGACATTTGGTTGTCATCCAAAATCTTAAATTTTATTCATTATTAATAAGAATGTGAAAGAATTTTGAATTGAATTTTGATCTGGATTCCAATTGAACTTCAAATCAATTGTATCAAATTTCTTATAAAAGAACTTGTTATTGCTTTGTTTACATTTTGCTAATAGTGATCAAGACAACTGTTGCGTTTTCCTTCTTCAGTGGGCAACGAGAAGATGATCATCATAATATGACTAGCATTACACAGGACCACATCAAAGATATCGACGATAGTAAAACTATATGGGCTATTGTTGCTCATGTTCTCAAAAAGTGGATTGCCTACAAGAAGACTCCACTATATGCTCCCTGGAGGATTGACCTACTTCTTATGGATGAGCAAGTGAGCTAGAGATTGACATTGCTTAATTATCTAAGATTTACTAATATTAGATGACCCTGCAGCCTTTGTACAGGGTTATAGGATAGAAGGTTTTGTAATACAAAGAGGACTATTTGAGTGTTACAAAAATGAACCCAAAGAGGGTGGAGTATACCACTTTGAAAACTTTAAGGTTGTTGACAGTGGAGATCAATACAGAATTACAACACATTCTTGGAGGCTTAAGTTTCATGCTACTACATACTTTGAAGAATCAGATTTGCCAATTCCTGATGAGGCATACAACTTCGCCCCAATAAAAGATATTGCTGAATTCACCACAAAGAATAAGGGGTTGATTGGTTAGTACCGTAGGATTCTGTTTAAGATTCAAATATTAGCTTTTCACTTCTATTTCAATAATGTTGTAAACAATTTGTGTGCATATGTGATGGGCTTCCTCAAAGGATTTGGTGCCTTGCAAGACTACAAGAATGAGTTTGGAACTTCTAAAAGATTAAACCTCACTCTTACTGACAAAAATTAAGAACCACTCCCAGAGATTTTTTTTTAATTACTCCCTTTTACATGCACATTTAATTTAATTTGAACACACACACACATATTATGGTGATAATATTTATATTTTATATTTTTATCTACTTTCTGCATTGGTTCATAGAAAGTCATGTAATATTGCAATTTATTTGTATAAATGCCATATTTCTATGCATATTTGTTTCCAAGGCTTTGTTTGGTTCGATGGAAGGGAGTGGAGGAGAGGGGAGGTAAAGGGAGGTTATGAGTGTTGTTTGCTTGGAGGAAAGGGAAGAAGAGAAAAGATTTCTTGTTTGGTTCGAAAAAGAAGAGGAGCGGAACTAATTATAAATTAACAAATACATCCTTATTGTTTTATTTAGATTTATTTATTATTTTATTATGATATTTACATCATAATTATTATTTTCTAATTTATGAATATAAAAAATAGTTATCTCGCGTGTGTAAAATATTTATATATCTATACAATATATACATATAATAAAAAATTATATAATCATTATCAAATATACATATCATAAAAAAAATTACTTCTCATATTATATTAAAAAAATAGTACACTTATGATAAAAAATATTATATCATCATTATTAAACATCGTTACACAATTTTCATGATATAGGTATGAATTCTTTAAAAAAAACATCAATTTATTTTTAAAAAAATCTTCATTGATATCATCTAATTAGATAGTTTTGAAATTATTAAAGCCTTACCATTATAAAGAAATTGTAAAATATTGATTTTTTTTAGTTTAAATACATATTTATATCATGCGTTCCAATAAATTAAAAAATAAAGAATTGTATTATTAAAATGAAAGCATCAAAAACCACAAATCCTTAGCAAACTATTCATGAGATCTAAGTCACTAAATATTAAAAGTCCTTAAACGATTACCAAACTAAATATTTGCTAAATCAATTTCCTAAGTCATTTATAATTTTTATAATCAAACAAGACGTTGTACCCCGTGCACTGCACGGGTTATACGATCCAGTCTTATTCAATAGGATGAACTAACAATGAAGATGCTGTATATTAGAAGTTCCAACAGTTTGTGCTCATGTATCAAGTTGAAAGTACATTCTAGAAAATTTCATCATAGACAACATTTATTGTTTGATTGGTGGGTTTCTTTTCTGCGTCTAGCACTAATATCTTCAAGCCATCAATACTTTTCACCCTTGACAGTGCCACGTATAGTTGTCCATGTGAGAATACTGGTGTTGACAGATAGAGCCCAACTCTTTCCATTAATTGCCCCTGGCTCTTGTTAATTGTCATTGCAAATAACACCATTACCGAGAATTGTCTTCTAGTCATTGAGAACGGAAGCCTAGATTGTGACGGGTTGAGGTCCATTCTGTGAATTAGCACTTCTTCGTCCTTGATTGTCCTATTTAACGCCACCGCTTTTATGAAGTGCCCTCCCAGCAATGTAATTCGTGGTCTCATTCCATTACACAACCCTGTAGACTGGTCAATGTTTCTTAGAAGCATTATCAATACACCAACCTTTAATGTTAACACATGTGGTGGAATGCCTGAGTAGGTGATTGTGTTTAAAAATTCTATTGTGTATATGTCATGTTGCGTAGTATCCTCTTTTTGTGTTTTATTTATTGAATTTGAGTTGTAATACTCAACCTCTTCTCTGTGTACATGGGACAAAACATAGTCATTTAGAGTCTTGACAATTTTCATTGTGGGTGCTAGAATTGCTCGGTTTGAAATATATTCTGAGTCAAAAATATTGTGTATTAAATATGGATATGTAGCATCCACAATTGCTTTAATGGGATCTATGACTTGTTGAATGATTAGGTTCTCCGGTAAGTCAATCCAAGTCATTCCACTGATGTCATAACCTATTCTTCCCTCTCCAATCTTCAATAGCCATTCTGAGAAACTCTTGATTCTTAATGATTCGTCTATATTGGAGTGCGATAAAAGACGCATATTTTTTGTGAGGTGTAACAATGTACATTTGGTCCATAGGCTTGAAGAGTTTATTGCAGAGTTGACAATATCAACGCGCCCTCCTTTTGTATTACTGCTAACATTTGTCAAATCGCCTCCCATTACTACAGTCTTACCACCAAAAGTCCTGTTGCACCTCAGTATGTCCTTTAGGCTATGGTTCGAAGCTTCAATGCAAAATTTCCTCACCATCAAAGCTTCATCACATATTATAAGCTTTGTTGTTTTTATTAAGTTTGCCAGCAGTGAATGATTAATAATACTGCAAATGGAGTCTTCATTTATTTCGATTGGAATGCAAAATCTTGAATGTGCTGTACGCCTTGATGGCAAAAGGGCTGCTGCTATTCCACTAGAAGCCATAATTTCCATTTCCTCATATTGCAGCTGTTATAGCATTCCATAAAAATGTTTTTCCCGCACCTCCAAATTCATGAATAAAAATGAATTCTCTCTTTTCCTATGCTACTGATTTGATGATTCGATCAAAAATCTCTTTTTGTTCATCTGTGAAAGATCTCTCAAAGCATATAGTCTCTAGTTTACACTGTTCTCTATCATGGTTTACCTCCATTGCAATTAAGTGATTTAGCAGATCCAGCAAACCTGATTTAGAAGCTGTTGGCATCGATGGGTAATCTTTGAGACTCCTTCCATTAGCTGCCAATATTTGCTCTATTTGGTGGAGGCAAGCTTCTTCCCTTTGTCTGCTTATAGCTGATAGTGTCAAAGCAAAAGAAGTAAATAGGTGAGAATAATTGCAAGTTTGCATATACTCATGGGAAATAAATGGGATGGTTGTTTAGCCTACAATCCATAATCTCTAAATGAATAAGGAAAATCTAAACAGGTATAAGAAGAGACATTCATGTGTGGTTCTAGCCTTGATTCTGTTTTGCACACTTTGCTTTACAGTTATGATATAAGGAAGAGGCAAGTAGTCCTTTACCTGAGTGCTGTCCATAATCTTTAAATGAAGAAGGGAAATCTAAACAGGTATAAGAAGAGACTCTTATTGTGGTTCTATCCCTTATTTTGTTTTGCACATGTTGCTTTATAGTTATGATATAAGGAAGAGGTGAGTTGTCCTTTATCTGAGTGCTGTAATCCTCTTGTTTCTTGTGCATAGAATAAGTCCTCTGAGAGATGAGTTTTTGTTACTGCCTAGACATTTTGTGGTTGAGAGAGACAATGCAATAATAGCATGCTCGCGAAAAAATTTTTGAGATAGTTTCTACTTGCCTAGGTGGAAGCCTCTAATATGGCCTCAATATATTCTTTATCATCATCGAGCAATCCCAATGCAAAACACATTTCTCTAAAAGTATTGTATAAGATGTCATCAACTGTCCTAATATCCTCATAACTTGAGGGTCCCTTTGCCTTGGTGAGCAACAAACAAAGGTAGTATAATTCTCCTTGTGAAGGTGATGAGCTATCTAACCTGCCTATTGAAAATCCCTTTTTTCTTGGCTTCCAGATTCTGCTCTGTCGATTGAAGGTGTAATATTGTGGAAATTGGGAGTATGTCAAAGTTCTAGCAACTGGATTGGCCTTGTTTATTTCCATCCATGATAGGAACATAAACTCCTTCACCCTTTGTTGTTGTATAATAGATGTAATTTCTCTTCTTGTTGAATAAATCACTTGCTGCTGACCTGGTAAATGGAAGCTTATTCTTTCAACTGGTGGAGACCTCAGATGAATGTTGAATGTAAATATTCTCCAAGCACCTTTACATGGTGATATATACCTGCAATTCAAATAGTGAGAAATTTCATCTCACATAGGCTATCCCCGGGAATATGAAGTGTTAGTCTATATTAATGCCACAACTCAGTCACTCCTTTTGCTAATATACTTGAATAAATACTTAATTGCCATGGATTGATTAGTTTTTTCAACATTTATATGAGCTTGAAACATTCTTAACAAAGTCAGGTTGTATGGTACTATGTATCTGTTGTCTAATGGAATCCCTTTTTTGTTGATTAATCTTCCATCATTTCTTCTCTGATATGTTGGATACCCATCACCGTCCATTACTGTACTTTCTTTGAACCTCTTGGGGAAATGCTTAGAACACTTGCCATTTTTCATACACAGAGATCTAATTGACGAATTACCACAAGGACCACGTGTCATTAAATTGGTGACCAAGTCGTATAAGTTTGGGTCCCTGTCCTTGCCTAGGATTCCTGCTGAAATTACTTTATCAATATCTTATGGAGTTTTTGGTTTGGCTGAAGGATGTAGAAACAGGATCATGTGAGCGTGTGGCAATCCTCTCTTCTGAAATTCAATGGTGTATATTTTTGCATAACATAGAAGGGTATAATTATTTGCAAAAGTATATGTTGCTAAACTTAAAATTTGGAGAAACCTTAAGCATAGCTATTTATTTGGTTAATATTTATGTACTTGCTTTGATCTTCCCAAATATTTTGCCGCTTCCCAGAAGCTTCATTAGTGCCTTAAGTTTTAGTTGGAAAATTTTGGCTAATATTTCTGGGCCGGTCTGATGGGTTTAGTTTTTCCTTCTCACAATATCGCCTTATTTGTGGCCATGCTGGATTACATGTGAAAGTGAGGAATAGATCTGGATAGCCAACCCATGCACATAATGCCATAGCATCTTGATAGTTTTGGTACATGTACCTTGCTCCTCCAGTAAATGATGACGGGAGTATTATTCTTCTCCTTGTTGAGGATGGATCTGTTTCTCCCCTTGATATTGCATTAGCAAGACCCTCGTACAAGTCCACTCTCAACTCATTTTGATGATTTTTGATGAATTGTAGCCTCTCACTCTCTACTATAGAATATCCGCCGACAATAAACTATTGTAGTAGTCTTTTAGAATGTAGCAATATCGAGATCTCATTCTTTCTATTCGTTAGTCTAAATGCAAGGTACTCTCAAATGCTTAGCTGTTTTTCTTTTTCCTTAGGAGAAGTAAATCTTATTCAATATTCAAAATTAAAAAAATTAAAAAAATATAAATATGATCCAAATTCTCAACACCAATGAATAAGAACTACTCATACGCTGAAATATAAAATAAATAGATGTGAAACATTCACTACTCTTAATTTGCCGCAAATAAATATCTACATTCACATTCATTTAACAACTATTGATCCATTAGCATATTAATGGAATTTTTTAATATTAATTGATTATCGAAGAGATTGTTGACTACATCGTTAAAATTGTTTGGATGTGATATCTTCAAGATTTATCTACTTATTATTAAAATTTACTTGACTTGATCTGTATTTATTGGAATTGTTCAGTTTTATGCATTTTAATTTAATCCCATTGTTTTATGCACATAAATGTCGTTAATTTATTTCTTAGGCTTAAAATGTGTTGAAAAGTGTTTGCAATGACTATTAAACTATCAATCAATAATTAATTAAATAAGAATGAAGAAAAGAAGTTATTATATTTTGATGGAGAGTTACAATAGTCTAGGAATTTTCTGGACTTGTATCAAATATGTTAGAATTATCTTATAGACAAGACAAGAGAAGTAAATCCTATTCAATATTCAAAATTAAAAAATATAAATTAAAAAATATAAATCTGATCCAAATTCCCAACATCAATGAATAAGAACTACTCATACGTTGAAATATAAAATAAATAAACATAAAACATTCACTACTCTTAATTTGCCACAAATAAATATCTACATTCACATTTATCTAACAGCTATTGATCCATTAACATATTGATAGAATTTTTTTAATATTTATTATGATAAAGACTTTAAACAAATAACTATTTTCAAAAAATAAAAAAATCAGTAAATAAAAATTATTTTAATATAAATTTTAATTAAAAATATCTTTTTAGAATATTTTTATCAGAGTTAACGATGTAGACTGAATCCAAAAATAGCAAGCCCAATGTCTATAGAGTATATAAATTATGAGAATGATCTCTTTATTTTGAAAATTAAAAGATACTGCTAACATTCCAATGTAAACCAATCATGCTCAATCCATTTCAATTCAATTCAATTCAAATCCTAATAATTCAAGCAAACCGTTAAGTAAATAATACGTAAAATCTCGAAAATGCAAAAATCCTAACAGTTATTTTATCTGCAAATTCCTGAAATTGCAATAATATTCCTCGTACATATCTTAGAATCAAAATGATCTCTTTAGAGCATATAAAGTTCAAAAATAGTAGCAACAATGTCTATAGAGCATTTAAAATAAGAGAGTTATCTACTTATTATTAAAATTAAAATTGAAAGAGATTGTTCACTAAATCGTTAAAATTATTTGGCTATGATATCTTACCTTCGATCTTAATGCGTCAGCAGGAAATAAAAACATGAACTACGCAGTTTCATTGAATATCCATTGATAGGAAAAAGCTATCATCACAAACATGGGCATGGATGTATATTCCCTGATTTGTTTGATGCAAAAAAAGGGGTCATAATTCCAATCGAGCAACGATAGCAATCTTGCGTTCTTGGTTTTATTCATATTTTGTGGTTGGCTACTATTACTATTACTAATGCTTAATTTGCTAGGAGGTGATTATATATTTTTAGAATACATGGCGTAGTTAAACTAACTTTACAACTAATAACAATACGAGGAACAACATTTTAAACCCAAAAGTGGGTGAGATCATAGTAGTTATAGTGCATGTCCATGATGAGAAAGATGCAAAGAGAACACAAAAACATCCACACTGGCGAAAGGAAAAACCCAACTATAATTAAAAAAAGAAATTTGGTACACCCTAAAATGAGACCCACATCTCCTAATCAATAGGCTAGGCGCAAGCCTTAGGAGCAATAATCTCCAGTCGACGGCACTTTGATACCTTCCTCAAAGATTTAAAATTTGGATGTTCTTGTTAGAAACAATCTCACCCAAGAGGGGGGTGAATTGGGTGAGTTACAAAAATTTAAAAATTAAAAGCGTGCAAGTATTGAATGAAACAGAGAGTCAGAGTAAGGAAAATTTTAACCGCAGAGAGGAGACACAAGATTTATACTGGTTCGGTCTAAACCACGTGACCTACTTCCAGTCCCCAGAACACCTCTGAGTATTTCACTATTTTCCAAGATCGACAGGGCTCTTGGTGCCTCGGTACAGTAATTGAATCGCTCAATCACTCCCCCTTACTCCCGTAAGGATACAACCCCTCTCAAGAGTCCACACTCTTGAGTGTCTCTCAAGTTTTTAATAAACGTAGTGAATGGCTCTCTTACAGAGTGAATTCAATGATAAACACTGATGCTCAGTAGTAATGTGAAAAACAGAGTATTGAATGCGTAACTGAATAATCGCAGGTGGTAGTTCAGGTATTCAATCTCTTCATTAATGCCTCTTCGCGCC